TCTCAGTGCACCTTCATTGTCACCTAAACTCTATCTCCTCCTCTCTTCCTCCTCTTTCTTGGGTTCCCCAAGGCCCTGACCTCAGACCCCTTCTATTCTCTATCTACACCTCTCTCCTAGGTTGGTTAATAACCTCCCACAGCTTTCAATACCATCTGTCACGTACCTGATGGGAGACTGAAATGACGAGGTCGCTGGAGTTGGAACAGAGGGAGTCTAGGACCCAGGAGAACAAGAGCGCCAGTAGTTGTTGTTTGCAGCTCATGCAGATGATGACCTTGGAAGGCTGATGATCCTCTGATTTTGGCACAGTAGTAGTAGGCAGAGCAGGTTTTGTAGATTGCCAGGCGTGCACCAGAGCAAGGCAGGTAGTGAGGACAAGAGACAGAAGCAGTGTCATGGAATAGCCAGGGTCATCAACAGTCGGGCAGCACGGTACAGAATCAGAAGGAAAAGCCAAGGTCAGGGCAGAGCCGAAGTCAGGAACCAGTATCAATCAGGAGAGCAATCAGAGTCAGGTGAGGAACAAGCTGGAACAGCAAAAAAGGAATCACACAGGAACAAGCAGGACACGGGGGAGCTGAAGACCAGTCAGCACTGAACATGAGCAGAGACACTCCTTAAATAGTCCGTCTGGCACCAATCTTCGCCGTGCTCGTGCAGGTGCATGTGCGTGTGCGCAATCGCGCATTTCTGCGTGCATGCGCACAACCGGCAATTCTCCTGCGGGAATTCCTATGCACATGAGCATTTCCGATCGCGATTCGTCTGGCCGGAAATCCCTTACACCATCCCATACCACCCAAAGCTATCTCTATACTCCTCAGCTAACCCTTTCAGTCTCCTAATGCATCACTAATTCACTGACTGACATATCAATATGAATGTCACACCATTTCCTCAAAACTGGGCTCATAATCCTCCTTGTTCCCTCTTCCAATTTTTCCATTGAGATTAATATCACAATTATCAGTCCTGTCACTCATGCCAGGGTGTTAGGTGTAATTCTGGACTCTGACTTCTCCTTGGGTCCTCACATCCAGTCACTGTCCAAATCCTGCTATGTTAAGCCCTGTAACATTTCCAAAATTCACTCCTTCTTAACCAATGACACCACAAAGCAAATAATTAACTTGTTATCTATCTCTCTTCTTGTTGGCCTGCCTTTACACAGGCTATCAAGAATGCTGCTGCTAGACTCCTTACTAGTCGTCGCATATTTCAGCCTGTAATTGATTTTGACAGCCTGCTGGCAGCAGGCTGTACATTGCACCTGTGCCTCACTTGTATAGAGCTAACCCTGTAGAAACCGCTGGTTAGGATGGGTCCTCTGTTCTCTGCCTCAACATTTTCAAGAACCTCATCTCCTCTAATACACTGGGCTGAGTGTACAAATATACAATACCACAGAAAATAACTGAAAATAATACTTAGTACCCAGTAGTAGTGCTATATCAATATGATTGGTAACAAGGCAAGCATAAAATGGATTAACGATGGTAATAACACTATTTGGCATACAAAGTGCTTAACAGTAAGGACTAAGCATAAGATGACATTTGGCGGCCAGATCAGCATAAACAGTAGCAAGGCCACATCAAGTGCATCAGTGAGCAATAGTAAAGTTTAAACTACCAAGTGCTGAAACTATACTGCTAAAGCACATTTATGGTGGCAATGTTGTTCCTAGAATGACTGGGTGTGCATGGTCCAAAAGAAAAAAGGAAGATGGTAGAGGTGGGGGCAGGGGAACAAAGGGGACTTGCTGAAAAGTTAAATCAGGAGGGGAAGTCCTGTGAGATGTTTTTCTGCCAGCTATTATTGCACTTAACGAGAGCCCCAATAACCTGCATGCAGTATAGGTACAGTATAGGTTTGGTATAGTCTTGGCACAGATGCAAGGTATCAAATGCAGTAAAGGTTTGGTATAATGCAGTATAGGATTGGTATAATAATAATACACAACTTTATTTTATACAATATATTTAAAGGTAGGTTCTTCAAGCGCTTTGTAAAAAAGAATAGAAAGGTATAGGTGCAGTTTAGATTTAGAATAGGTGTGGTATAGGGGTGTCCTGCTCTCAGTAGCTCAGTCCTTGCTGGCAGTATAAGCTAAGGGTGTATGGGACCCCTTGGTCTTTCCCAGAAAGCCTGGGAAAGGTGATCAGCGGTGCAAAGCAAAGGATGAGTGAATACTCCATTCTCTGCAACAGCGGTGCAGGCTCTGTGATGTGGCAGTGGTGTGCCATATCCTCACTCCCAGTCTCAGGTTCAGATCTGTTCTGGTATTGTTTCCCGTTGGCAGGTGAATATCCAGACAGAGGTGTTCTTTCTCACTCCCTCGGTGCCCAGAGGAAGAGTTTCCCAGGTAGTTTATTAAAAATCATTTCTCCCATCCTCCTACTGCACAGTGCCTATTGGGATATGTAGTGTAATAAGTCCATTGACCCCATTATATGGCTGCTGTCTCAAACTACAACTGCCAGCATTCTCAGTGCTCTGTATAGAAGTCTATGGGCTTGCTTGGCTTTAGCTCTCCTGTTGGCCAGAGAATTGCACAGCATAACATAAGTATCTCAGTAAATGGAGAGAAGAATAAAGGCAATGTCTCCTCCTCCATATTGCTGTAGCCCAGCCCCTGGCAACACTTGCACCCCAAAATGTCTGAACATTGTATGAGCCAAACCACCTGTATGCATGAGCCCAAAGCTGAAGTTTAATCTTCTTATAGTTTGCCACCCTTGGTTTCTAATTATTCTCTTCATCAACATGTCAATGAAATAAAAAAAAAACTTTCTGTATTCATTACATACATTATTTCAGACTCAACAACGTCATCACTGGGTTCCTGTGCTTCTCTATGCATTGCAGGTAGATATGGTGGGAAGGATCAACATGGTGCTGTACATAACTTCAGGGAAAAAAAACACCCTGCCTCAGTACTCCTCCCAAAAACCCTTAGCCCTGATGTAAGCAGATAGATATATTAGAAATATCAGAATGCATTGATGGGTAGATATCAGTCAAGAGGAGAGGGTGTTTCTAGTAATTTAGACTTTCCTAGGTAACACCCACATGTGATGCTGAGCCTTCCTGATTGAAAGAATTGAAATCCAGGCTAAAGGAATCTGACTTTAAAGTTCCTGGGACACTGCTATATTTTAAAACTATTGTATCAACTGCTACCCGATCAGTAAATGAGTGCTTCATTGGTCAGATGATACTACTTAATCAGACCAGCAGCTGCATAGAATTGGCTTTATAGATAAGCACTTTGGTGTAAAATGCATGCGCAAGGCGTTGTGTGATAACCCCTGATCAGAGACGGCTCTCTAATTAGGCAAATTAAGCAGTCGCCTAAGGCCTCATGCTCACATGGGCCTCATGACCACCAAATTTGCCTAGCGCAGCCAACTTGAAAGTGAAAGCGATTGCCAATCACTTTCATGGAGCCAGCAATGCGGTGCCTCCCTTCTCCCACCGGTGGACCCTTTCTCCCGTGGTTCCCGAGATCTCTGCTCTTATCGCCGGATAAGAGAGGGAGAGCGCTGTGAGACCGAGGCAAATCCATGCCTCGATCACTCATGCAAACACTGAAACCAGAGGTGATTTCACTTCTACTTTCAGATGCACACTTTCCTGGCAAGTACAGCCAGGAGACACATCTAACCAAGCCAATCTGTGCCGGTTAGATGGTGTGAAGGGCAAGGGAGACATTGGGATCTATTAGACCCCTAATGTCTCTATAAAGATTACCTGTTACCTGCCAAATGTTATCATGTAGGGATTTATTAACCTCTTGTGATAGTAATCAAGTAAAATAAATAAACAAAAAGAAAACTGTTTTAAAAAATAAAATTATAATAAATGATATATAGAAATTTTTAAAAATGCCGTAAACCCCGTTGCCCTGCACACCTGTGCAAACGCAAGTGTAAGCCCAGGGCGTGCACATGTATGTAAATCGCGATCGTACCACATCTGTGACATCGCTGCGAATGTCAGAGTGAGAACAATAAATTCTAGCACAAGAGCTCCCAGTTAACAGTCAACTGCTGAGCTGTAAAGGCTTTTAAAGTGTCCCTTATAGTGATTTTTGGACACCGTAGTTTTTGGCAATATTGTGGGTGCATGCAATCTTAGGACATGGAATATTTGGTATCTATTTACTCGATGCAATCTCATCTTTTATGTTTTAGCCAAAAATGGGTATTCTATTGTGCGTTTTTGCATTCATCTTATTATATTGTTTCCTGAAAATTTACGTTTAATAAATAGTTGGCAAATATCATATGACATATAAAAATATGCAAATATCCCATTTTTATTCTACAGGGCCTCTGCTTTCAGAAAATATATAATGTTCTGGGGGCTTAAGTAATTTTATTGCCAAAAAAATAATATTTTTACATGGAAAAAATTGCTCTGGAGCCGAACTGGTTAATGCTACTCTGCACAGGCAGCGTTAGGAGCCCTGTCTCACTTAGGCTACTTTCACACTGATCAGCTGCAAAAACGCCTCAAAACACATAGGCATTTTACCATGCTTTTACCGTGTTTTTGCCACACTTTTTAAAGGACATTTGACTTAAAACTGCACCAATAACGCTTCTCAGAGGCGTTTTTGAGGCGTTTTCCATTGATTTCAATGGGAAGAGGTGTTTTTGGGGCTTTTTTTAACTCTCCAAATATGCCCAAAGATGCTGCAAACAGGAGTTTTTACACCGCACTGCAAGCGCAATGCCTCAGTGTGAAAACATACATAGATATACATTCACATACACAGGGAAGCAGTTTTCTTGAGAGCTTTTCAGGCTCTTTTTCTAAGGAAAAAAACGCTTGAAAAACTACTCAGTGTGAAATCAGCCTTAAGCGGGTCTCGCTGTTTTGCAGCATGACTTTATCTTAGAGGTGACGGGCACCGCTGCTGTGCACAGGCGGCATTAAGAGCCCTGTCACACTCACCTCTTACGCAAGACTTCTGGAGCTCTGCCCACCAGCCAATGAGGAGTGACATTCAGGGGTGGGCTGACAACTCATGGGGCCCCCAGGGCAATAGGGGATCATGGGGCCCCTGTGTCCTTGCCCAAACTCAAAAAAGCCTACGAAAAAGGTACCAGGGGCATCTCATGGGGCCCCCTACTGACCCCAGGCCCTTGGGCAGTGTCCCAGTTTCCAAATGGTCAGTCTGTCCCTGGTGACGTTGCATCCACGCATGTCACCCCTTCCATCCACCGCATGAGCATCTCAATCTTGGAAGGCCTCCTGCATAGCCGACGGATGAACAGATGGATGGGCGTGAGTAGGGACCTCACGTCTAAGTTTTGCCTAGGGCCTCACAAAGCCTAGAGCCGCCTCTGCTGCTGATGCATGTTAATTGGTTGCAACAAACTCTTTGAAGCCCAAATGTAATTGTACAAATCTTTTCTCTTCCCTCTGGAATGTTTTTCTTTGGCTGGGAAAAGCTGTGGCTCTGTAGTGCAAACTAAGGTACACAGTATACTGGCCTGATGCTTTGGCAGCATGCTGTGTATATGATTTGAACAAGCAGAAAAAGTGCCTTGACTATTTCTTAAAGAATCCTCAAATTTTAGCAGTGAGGATTTTGCCTTAAGCTGAGGCTCACATCTTCTATCTTTATTTTTTGTTCATTCTATCTGAAATCAAGCTGGTGGGCTGGTGCTTGGTACTCAACAACATCTTCAAAATATCTGTCAGGACTCAAACTACATGTATAATCCCTGACATCTGCACCTTTATGAATAATAAAATATGTAATGCAGTGCTGCCCTCACTAAACTCAATTGATAGAAAAAAAGCTCTCAATAACAAGGTGATCTAAAAACAATGGTGAAAAAACAGTACCTATTACTAACAAAACTGTGAAAAACTAAAGCAAAATCACAATAAATCAAACAAATGTGTTAATTAATAAAACACTTCTCTAAGTTCACATATCAAGTGTTAGATACCAAAATACTGTGAACAATCCACAAATATATGTGTACAGCAACTCACCTGGACTGTCCCAGTCCAGGTGAGTCCACAAGGTGCGCATACCCCTTTAAATTACACACTGTGAATAGCAGCCCAATCAGCGGGGACACTGCAGTCTGCTCTCCTTCAAAATATAACGGTTACAAAGAAATGATGTCTAACACCTGTGTATCCCCACAGGGATGAAATAGTGCTCAGTCATTCAGCTCAAGACTTGTTTTTAGGTCTTCCAGAACAAAAATTCTTCTACATAATAATAACTACATATGGATCCAAATGAAAGAGAAAAGAAAACTCTCATAGTGCTCGCTGAATGCTTTATTCAGCAATAATAAGGATTAAAAAAAACTCATAAGGAGAGTAGTTTAACACCTTCCCGCCTGGCCTATAGCAGATTGACGGCCAGGCGGGACACGTGCCGTTGTTACTGGGCGTCATATGATGTCCTGTCAAAATGAGCCACTCACGTGGCCACGGGGCCACGGAGCGGCGCGATCTGTCACCGGCTGTGTCCATTGCCGTGTCATGTGACTGCTATGACCAATCACAGCAGATCACATGTCAATTATATACAATGGATGACTTCCTGTCATGCCATCCATTGTATACAATTATGTTAGCTGTGATTGGTCAAGGCAGTCACATGATACAAACAGGGTCAATCAGAGCCTATCTGTATCATGTGATCAGTTTTGCCCAATCACAGCTAATCACAACAAAAGACTGAATGAATCAGATCAGTATCACCTGATATCCAAATACCACCCAACACATACTCTTCACTCCTCACAAGACCTCCTACTCTCTAGCTCCCTGGTCTCCTCCTCCCATGCCTGGCTCCAGGACTTCTCCTGGGCTTCCCCCATCCTCTGGAACTCACTACCCCAATCCATCAGACTGTCACCTACCCTCCTCACATTTAGGCACACCCTGAAAACCCATCTCTTCAGGGAAGCCTACCCCGCCCTCACCTAACTGCCGATCTCCTCCACTCCTCCTACCACTCCATCCCTCACAGCCATTTCCTCCTGTACTACTATCCCCTCCCTCCTAGATTGTAAGCTCCAAGGAGCAGGGCCCTCGAACCCCTTGTGTATTGTATTGTTATTGTACTTTCTCATGTATTGTCTCCCATTGTAATGTACAGCGCTGAGCAAACTTTTGGCACTATATAAATAATGTATAATAATATTAATCAGTTTCATTCAGTAACAATGATTGCAAATATCAATGAAATACATTGGTATTAGCAATCATAATGTGTTAAAAAAAAGAAAAAAAAATCCTGATCACTTGCCTAGAGTAGTTCATGTTACTCTGGTAACCTTGTATTGCTTTGGTCACAGTGTGCTGAAAAAAAAAAATAGTAAAAAAAAGAAAAAATGTAATAAAAAATAAACAAATAATAGAAACACTTGAAAAAAAAATACAAATTCAATTATTATTATGTTCACCAAAGAAATGTAGTAGAATACATTCTGACCTAAATTTATGAAGAAATGGTATTTATTTGCAAAATTTTATAACAGAATTGAAGAAAAGTGTGGTTTTTTTTCAAAAGTTTCAGGTGTTTTTTGTTTTATTTATCAAAAAAAACAAAAAACTTAGTGGTGATTAAATACACCAAAAGAAAGCTCTAAAAATGTCATATATGTACAAGGTTGCATGACCGCGCAATTATCATTAAAAGTGCGACAGCACTGAAAGCTGAAAATTGGCCTGGGCAGGAAGGGGGTATAAGCGCCCTGTATTGAAGTGGTTAAGCACATGTAAGACCAATCCAATATACTGTATGTGATCCAAACTAATGGCACTAATTGCGCAGTTCACATATATTGATTTGGTTTTATTATTATCAAAACAAGACTTTAGAACATATGAGTCATTTTACTTTAAATACATTTTCTATCTTCATATATTTATTTTCATGCATTCTACATTAGAATGTGTGTTTAAAATACTGAAATCCATCTGCAGCTTTCAGATTTATTATGTTTCCTAGCAGGCTGTTCTGGCTTAGTCTGAAACAATTAGGAAGATTTACACCAACAATACGATTGGTTAGCGCCAAGGCTAACAATGCCAGTCTCATAAAGTAAACACCTAGAACAGGAAAACTTAACTGGCAGCAACAAAAACATTGTATTGCACATGAGCAGCTTTAAGTAAGTGCATAAATCAGTTTATCAGAATCTGCTGATAATAGATGGTACTATTGTATTCAAGGACCATTTACTATAGATTAATATTTTTTGTAGAATTTCTATAATCATATGCAGCTTTTTCCTATTTTTTCTAAAAAAAATTTTTAACGTCCAATGAAAAAATCAATGAATATTGTTCCTATCAGAAATTACTATAGTATTAAAATATGACTTCATTAATCTTTTAAAATTTAAGCCCAGCCATACTCTGTGAGTAAAAAATTTGCCACATGAGTAAATTAGCAGGGTGATTAAATATGGCATTTTAATGGTTGTGTATAAAAGGCTTTCTAGCAAAAGCTCTATTTAAGCTTTCCAGTATTTATAATGTGCCTTGGCTATAGTAAAGAATGCAGATGTTGAATACAGAGGAGAAAAGACCCTTTGATAATGGGGCATAGTGGCAAGCTGTAACGGTAATACTAGTTAGGTAACAAAGCAGATTAACACTATATTGCCAAAAATATTGGGACACCCCTCCAAATCATTGGATTCACATGTTCCAATCACCTCCATGGACACAGGTGTATAAAATAAAGCACCTAGGCATGCAGACTGCTTCTACAAACATTTGTGAAAGAAAGGGTCGCTCTCAGGAGCTAAGCGAATTCAAGCGTGGTACCGGGATAGGTTGTCACCTGTGCAATCCATCCATGAAATTTCCTTGCTAACATATATTACAGGGTCACCTGTTAGTGGTATTATAACAAAGTGGAAGCAACTGGGAACAACAGCAACTCAGCCACAAAGTGGTAGGCTACGTAAAATGACAGAGCGGGGTCAGCACATGCTGAAGCACACAGTGTGCAGAGGTCGCCAACTGTCTGCTGAGTTGATAGCTAAAAACCTACCAATTCCATGTGGCCTTCAGATTAGCACAACAAATGTGTGTAGAGAGCTTCATGGTACGGGTTTCCATGGCCAAGTAACTGCATCCAAGCTTTGCATCACCAAGTGTAAGGCAAAGCATTGGATGCAGTGGTGTAAAGCACACAGCCGCTGGACTCTAGAGCAGTGGAGATGTGTTCTCTGGAGTGACTAATCACACTTCTCTGTCTGGCAATCCAATGGACATGTCTGGGTTTGGCGATTACCAGGAGAACGGTACTTGCTTGACTGCTTTCTGCCAAGTGTAAAGTTTGGTGGAGGGAGGATTATGGTGTGGGGTTGTTTTTCGGGGGTTGGCTTGGCCCCTTAGTTCCAGTGAAGGGAACTATTAAGGCAACAGCATACCAAGACATTTAGGACAATTTCATGCCCCCAACTTTGTGGGAACACTATGGGGAGGGCCCCTTCCTGTTACAACATGACTGCACACCAGTGCCCAAAGCAAGGTCCATTAAGACATGGATGAGTGAGTTTGGGGTGGAGGAACTTGACTGGCCTGCACCTCAACCCAATAGAACACCTTTGGGATGAATTAGCGTGCAGACTGCAAGCCAGGCCTTCGCATCTGATATCAGTGCCTGACCTCACAAATGCACTTCTGGAAGAATACTCAGACATTCCCATAGACACACTCCTAAACCTTGTGGACAGCCTTCCCAGAAGAGTTGAAGCTGTTATAGTTGCAGAGGGTGGGCCAACTCAATATTGAATCCTACAGACTAAGACTGGGATGCCATTAAAGTTCATGTGCGTGTATAGGCAGGCTTCCCAATACATTTGACAATATAGTGTAGGTGATGGTGGCAGTGGTTAGCTATGACGTACGCTCTTTCTTTCTCAACAGCTATCACCAGTGATGATTGTTAGTGGTGACTGGTGACAATGTCAATGGTAGTGACTAAGGACCTGTATATTAAATGTGCTGTACCTGGAAACACTGGCATTGTTTTTCATAAAGTTCATATATATATCACTCTATTACAGCAATGGGCAAACTATGGCCCGCGGGCCGTATACGGCCCGGCGGACCTTTTAATCCAGCCCGTGGAGCGTGATACTGTCAGGATGGCTGTCAGGATGTGTGTAGGCGGGGCAGCGTGACGAACGTGAGGGGAGCTAGGCTCCTCTCACA